AATTTCCTCCCTCTCTTCTAATTGATTATTGTTGGAGAAATATAAATAGGGTTAATTTGAAAAAAATTGATAAATACATGAATAAGTTTTGCATATGAGACAACACATCAACTTTCCAATTAAGTCTTACATTAAGTATTGAAGAAGTAATATAAATTATCGCCACCTTTTCTTGTGAGTAGAATGCTATTTGTTTATAATTAGAGTTTACCTTTGGTTTTGATTTATATTTTCATGTTGTGCAGTTTTTTTTTTTTGTGATATATGATTTTTTTTAACGCAATATTTGGCCAAGGCTTGAGATTTTTTGAGACTTTTTAAAACAACCAAGCAAGCCTTTAAATAAAAATAAAAGTAGATTTGGTATTTCATTCCGTGCTCATTACGATGATAAATACTGTAATAAAATCTAGATCAAAGATGTATGTATTTTTTTTCCTCTCAACAAGAAGCATAACAAACTGATCAACCCTGGGCTGCAAGTGCTCGTTATTCAGCCATTGGACGTTCGTTAATTTAAAAAAAAAGAAAAGAAAGAGTTATTAGTAGTTTCAGCTTTTGTAACCACTTTATTTATCACTTTATTTATCTTGTCTTCTTTTTCCTTCGTTCCTTTTTTTTTAACTGATGGATCTAACAGCCTCCGTTTAGGCTTTAACAAAAAAGAAAGGCCCCCAAATAACCCCATTTAGCCTCACATCTTGCTGCAAGACAAAAAGAGACGCTCCCAAACACATCACAATCAAATGGCCCTCTTCAGAAGAATGGCAGCCATTGTTGCTGCTTTAATAATAATCACAGCGTCCTCACCCCACAGCACAACATCAGCCAAAGCCCCGCCATCTCCTCCAGCTCCCGGCGGCATGGCTCCGGCACCTGCAAAGGTGATTACAGAATGCTTCAGAGCCTTAGTGAACACATCAGATTGCCTGAGCTTTGTGAAATCTGAAAGCAACCTCACAAAACCAGAAAAAGGATGCTGCCCGGAGATCGCAGGACTAGTAGAGAGCAACCCCATTTGCTTATGTGAGCTATTAGGGCATCCTGAAGCTACTGGTTTCACCATTGATGCTAAGAAAGCTCTCAACCTTCCTTCTCTTTGTGGAGTGTCTTCTGCTCCTAATGTTACTTCCTGCTCAGGTATCCCTACTTAAACTTCAATCGTCGTCTTCTCTGAGTTTCATTTTTGTTCGATCTGTTTAGTTTTTTCTGAGAATCATGATAGATAGTAATCTGATTCTGGGAATCAAATCTAGTTTCATCATCAGGAACTGGTTATTTGGTCACTGTTAAAATTTAGAGAATGATTCAAAGAATCCTAGACATGCTAGTTTATACTACTGATATTGGCAGATCCAATAATCACGGATTTTTTTGGGGAAAAATAATGTTTTTTTAATCAAGCTAACGCTGATGTATGTGCAGTGCACCGTCTTCGATATTGTGATGCCATTTGCAATTTCATATCGACAGTGGTCTACTTTTTTTTCCCCCTTTCTCGAAAATAAGTCCCAATTTAATTAGCAATTTTTTTGGGCAAAAGGACATGAATTGAGTGTGTGCAATTATTTTTTTCCGATGTAACTCTTTTTTAACTATATGCAATATATTTTTCATTATGTGGTATTGAAAATTTGTGTATAATTGACGCTATGTTGCATTCAAATGAGGAAGAATTACATTACTGAAGATAATTGTGCCGATTCTTTTTTACCAAAAAGGTTTGCCAGATGAACCAATGGACATTTGCTCTAGTGGTGGAGATTAGTTACTCATATTGTGATAGACTGATATTTGAATTTTTGCTAAGAGATGTGCCCACATTTAATCTCCCATAATTTCTCAGATAAGATTGCCTCCAATAGATAATATATATAGAAAAAAAAATTGCCAAATGAGAACATTTTCCCGAATTCTCCTTTTTTTTTTAATTAAATGTGTGAGCGAATATTTATTAAATATTTACTGTTATGAGATGCAGCTGCAGGAGTGCCAGTGTCGTTGGCTCCAATAAGTCAAGATGCCATGTCTCCGAGTAAGACAATGAAATATTTCCATTATCATTATTATTACCTTTTTTGTTGATATTACCTTTTTTTTTTAATAAAGAACTCATTATTCTTAACCTTTTTCAATATCATGCTCCTTTTGATTGTCCCCACCATGTGCCACGCTACTTTTATTTTTCAATTGATGATTGATTACACTCACATGGAGCTACTTATGTAACTTTACCATTTATGTTAATTTTTCAACTGCTCCGTACTCCAAGTAATTAATATGAATTTTGGCCAAAAAAAAGTAACTAATTAATAAATCTGATGAATTTTCTTACCCACAATTCATATATTTATGTATAACCAATAATGGAGAAGAAAATGAATTGTTGTGTGTTTGATTAAAAGTGGCTTCAACTTTATTTAATTAATTTTTGAAAAATTGAATTTAAAATATTTCAATATGATAATGCATGATCATAATCTAGTATTAGATTTTTTTTTTAAAGAAAAAAGAACAATGATATCTAATGAACTATTAACGATAAAAAAAAAATCCTTTTGAAGAACTTTTCCACATGAGAACCAATTTATTAATCTCTTTGCTTTTACTGCCATTAAATTGCAGACGATCAACCAAGAGAAGGATTGGCACCAAGCCCTTCAACACAGGAATCAACTTTGACTTATCTCCCAAATGAAGACGACGAAGATGCAGCTTCCACCATTAGCAGACACTCTAAGCTCAATTTCATGTTCGGCTTCGTCATTGCCATCATCTTCACCTTAAATTATGATTCCTAAACATCATTAATTACTATGTTCTTAAAACGTCATTTTTGGGTTCATACAGTCCCCATTTACATTCACTGGGTCGCCCTCTCAAGTCTTAGCTTTGAAGTAGCGGTAATAAAAGTTATTTTTTATCTAATTTTTGCAAACTAATATTGGGGTAACATTGTTTTATAGAAAAGTTAGTTTAACAAAAAATTTGTTTGGATGGTATATTACTTTAATTGTAATCTAAATTTTGTTGCATACCAAAAAGCACCCATCATACTGGTAAAGGATTCGTCCTATTTAACTAGTGGTCTTGTGTTTAAGTGCCGGAGATGTAGCAGTGTTAAGAATACCTGGTAATAAGATTTTAAAAAAGTACTAGATGTTAGGAGGCCCAAAGGATTATATTTTGAAAAAATGTGAAGGGGACAATAAATGTATTTATTGAAAGTTGCTTGTTGGGGCAGGATACGTTGTCGGATCATATATATAAAATATATTACTTGCATAATAAAACCAAAACCAAAACCAAATCCAAATCATCTAACCCATTGACAAATAACTTATGTATGGCATACATCAAATTCGCAAGTGGATGTATAACAAACAAAAAGAAGGACGAATTTGGTTTAATTCACAAATTTCATGATAATTAAAATAGATTAAGAATTCATCAACAAAAGAATGGTAATATAAGAAAGACTGGGAAAATTTGACTTCATTGTTATATATTTTCTTAGCCAGAGGGTTTTCTTGAGATCCGAGAGTGCTTATTCTCATATTCAGACCTTCTTCAATAACACTACACTACCAAAAAACATGGTTTTAGCGAAAATTCCGTCGCTAACTCAATTTTTTAAAAAATAAAATAAAATGCCACGTGGCACCTCTACCAATTGCCACGTCATCACTAAGACCACCTCCACGTGTCGCTGCCACCTCACATCTACTGCCACGTGTGCACCACGTGTCACCATCATATAATTCCCTTCTCAAAGTAACTTCTCCATGGCTTGAACCCAGGACCTCCTCCATGCGCATGTGCGGTTTTACCAGTTGAGCTGCAATGAACCTGTTGACTTATTATGTAAAATTAAATATATATTGTATTATTTTACACAAACAATTATATATACATATATTATTAAAAACTAAAAATATACTATATGATAATTTTAATAATAACTATTTTAATGAAAAAATATTTTTTAAATATTTTTTTACTATTTTTATAATTTTTTATTTTTTAAAAATTTTTTAATATAATTTTAATTTCTAACGACACTAATTTTGAATTTTACATCATAAATAATTTTTCATAAATATTTTTTAAATTTATTTTTTAATTAACGGTGATAAGATATACAATTTAATTATATATATATATTATATTACATTATATTATATATGTATATGTGGTTTATATATTTGAAGAAAATCATTTACAATTAGTCAAAAAATCTTGTTATTCAAAAAATTCAAAAAATAACTACTATAATAAAATCTAATAAATTATTTTATATAAAAAATTAAATGATTTAAATAGATTATGATAAATAGTATTTTCCTACTTGTATATATATCCTATGTAATTTATTTTCTTAAAATTTGCGACGGAATTTGTGACGGAAACAAATTGCATCGCTAATTTCTGATAGAATTGCGACGGAATTTCCGTCGCTAATTTTTTTGACGGATTAGCGACGGAATTGTCTGACAGAAAAAATTCCGTCGCTAAATACAGATGAGCGACGGAATTTAGCGACGGACAGAAATTCCGTCGCTACTTTGCGACAGAATTTGTTTCCGTCGCAAATTCTGTCGCAAATTCGCTGTTTTTTTGTAGTGCTACCATTGACTTTAAAAGCCTCAAATCTCATTACTGAAGTTTCCCCTATGCTCTGTGCTGTCTCTCTGTGTGCTCTATTTTCCCGGTAAGTGCGTGCGTTGATTCATCCTTTAAAGTATTCTCTCAATTTGCTAAGTTTGATTTGTTATTCTCCTTTTTCCCCCCCTTTTCAAAGTGATTGATTTGAACAGAAAAACTGAAAAAAGAAGACTACTCTCTTAGCTTGTTGAAGCCTGAAGGCATCGTCAAGCAATCTGCAATCTGCAAAAATAACTTGGTAAGTTCATCACATCACCTTCCCTTTTGATCTCTTAATTACTTACTTTTCGTTTATCATAGCTAGTGTTTTTATATTATAAGTTTATGTGCCTCCTGGGCTTCATAAGTCCTGTCTTCTGCTTCAGTACTGAGACTTAAAAGTAAACGTTATTAACTCCACTGTATTACTATGATGAGATACCTTTAAATGATTCTAGGCTTTATATCGTGACAAATAATTTGTAGGAAAAATTATCCTAAGATTCCAAACAAGGAACATAACTATTGAAAAATCTCAATGATAAGTGAGCAGTTAAAATCTATTATTATTTCTTATGATGTAACTTGTCATTAATATTTACAAGCTACTTAGTTGTTATGAGATTTTTTTAATAAATATATTTCTTATTTGGGACTTTATAGTAATACTCCCTAATTTGTATGTAAACCCGATTTTTTTGATGACTGTGAATGTTTTAACTTAGATAATATATACTTGATAAATAATCTCTTCAAAAATAATAGTCAATAATACGGTGAAAGTTTTTCCATGATAGTTTTTGTACTGTGGGCAAAGAAGACAAATTAAAATCGTTCTCTTTATTTTCTGATTAATTGCTGCACGATTCTATACAATGTTATCAAACTCACAAGTTTAAACAAACTCGTGATAATGATATAAATTCGGATTATAAACTCAGATCGTAAACTTGTAAGAGTTTATTGTTATTAATAAACTAGTATTAAACGTATATAATCAAATAATTAAGATATAAAAAATGAGATCAATTTCATTTAAATATACTTTAAATTTAAATAATTGAAATTATATCTATCAATGTTCATAATTTATCATATTCAACAAAAAAATTTCTATAAAATTCATATATAAAGTCACTAAACATAACCAAATCCAAAAATTTAACATGAGTTTAAGAGCGAGTTGACACGATTTTGCAAGTTTAAAATGTAAAAATGGTAATCTCAGTAAATAAATTCGTAAGTTTAACCGAGTTTATAGTTATTATGAGTTTAAGAGCAAATCGACATGATTTTATTAGCTAAAAACATTAAATTCGGAGAGTCAATTCGCGAATTTGATAACAGTGATTCTATGTGCTCTTATTAATTAATTACTTTAAGGTATATTCACCTTATAATTATACATTCCCCTTGTTTTTTATTTTTTATTTTTTGATACGCCGGAAGGAATATTCCCCTTGTATGTATCTTTCCTTTGGTTTAATTTCATTGTTGTGTTTATATTTTTCGTTTTGCTTCTTAAGTTCTTTCACTCTTGTTTCGTCGTTCTCTTAACCTCTACCAATATATATTGAGAGGGTTAGAAAGACATAGTATTATGATATACTCCTCCAATCCTAAATATAAAACCCATTTTATACTATAAAATGGGTCTTATATTTAGAAATGGAAGAGTATAATTTATTATACCTTCTATTATGTTGTTAAAAATCTTTGGCAAAAAAAAAAAATGTTGTTAAAAATCAGCTGAAACCTGGTATTAAGTTTTGTTCTTTTATTTTGCAGTGTGCCCTGATCTCTGATCATATTTAGTTCTTCATTGTAGCTGTCACGTGTCTGATTGCTTTGTCTTTCTACAAAATTAACAAAAAAATTTACAAAAAAAAAGAAAAAAAAAAAAAAAAGACTTCAGTACTTCACCGTCCAAGAATCATCAGAGCAACGTCGGAACCTCTGGGGGAAAAAAAAAGAGAGAAGGTAATTATATATTTTGATCGTGTCAATCTTACTGTCAATGCGGATTAATTAATTAATTAAAGCCTAGGAATTCATCAACAAAATAATAATAAAAGACTTGGAAATTTGAGTTTGTGAGTCCAATAATTGAGGGCACATACAGTGAATAATTATAGATATTTTTAGCTTCTTTAAATCTCGGGAAAAGACAAGGAGAGATTAATAATATCATTCTCTTATATGTGCTGATTTTCTTTTATTTGTTTGTATGGCAAGATGATTAAAATTCCTTTTTCTTTTTTCTTTTGGCAAGGTTTTATACCCTGATTAGTTCGTGTTTGGGTTCTTGATTTATGGTTTTCCATTCGGTGGATTGTTTTTAATTTCTACAAATTAAAAAAGAAATGTCAAAGGATCATTCAAAAGTATTGGAATCTCTCAAGAAAGGTTAATATTCTGGTCCTTGACCTCTACCAATATTGAGCCATTTGGTCGTGCATGTCTTATCTCAAATATTGTGTTGAATAATTTATATATAAACACGAATTTTTTTATAACTATTGTAAATATTCCTTTTTTGGCCAGCAAATTACTCTAAATATTCAAGCTATATATAATACTACTTAATGTTTAAAAAAAAAAATCGCCATTCATGACAATTCATAACTATATTTTTCAACATTTAAATTTATTTCGTTCAAATTTTATGATCTTATTTTTTTAGAATATATTTTCACTATCGATTTTATCTGATACATAATAATTTATTTATGATAGTTGAGCAATGTAGGGTGCTCAAGTTTTAAATTTAAATATTTAAATTATTATTCAATCATATTTTTTGTTCTTGTAACGTAGATTACCAGTATTGAAGGCTAATTAAATAAATCGATGAAACTATGTGACAGAAAATAGTTTGAAAAAATAATTGATGATTTAAAACCTTTAAAATTAGCCTTAAGAGGGATAGGCGTGGCTAAATAGCTTAGTAACCTACTTAATTTAAATTTATTCTTGAGCTTTTAAGCCCAAATTTTGGCATATGACACCTCCTTTCATACACTGATTTTTCTTGCTTTTGTTGGGTCCAATTTGGCTCTCAAATACTTTCACGTCAATTTGGAATAATTACAAGCCAAAATAAACGGAAATTTATGAATTCAATCGTGAGGTGTAATATTTTGTATTAATCCACTAAAATCTTCAAATAATTATTTCGAATGATCATCCAAATATAATCATTTAAGGCATTTACGTAATTTT